ACTACATGATATTTCATTACATAATATAAAAAACACATTTGTTAATGTCATCTCCAGACTTAGAAGTTTTTAAGTACTACTAGCAAAGTGTCAAAATCAATCAGATCAGTGGTAGAATCAACTTCTACAAAAATTCTCATTTTCACTTGAAAGCTTGACTTTTACTATGGGCAACATTTCCTTGGAGTGGTAAGTTCATTTCCAAGAAAATATCTGGCATCCATATACTGAAGACTGAATAATCATAGTTTGTCATCTGTTGTTGTTATCTCATTTAAAAGTTGTAACATGAAAAAAAGTGGTTAATTCATTTTCCAACAGAAAGTAAATCATACAAGGGTTTTTTCCTTAAGATAGTCATTGAGCTGTATGTAGCAAGTGTTATCTGTACAGTTTTGCTACATGAAATATAAAAAGATGTGTACACAGGATTGAGATTTTTACAAATTAAAAGTTTTCACTGCTTCACTAAGTAAAACTAGAGATTTTTAAAATTTGCAAGGAGGTAAAGGATATAAATATTGCTAGCCCACTGCCTTTGCCAAGAATTTTATCACAATTATTTTGCACTATCAGTGTATATGTCAACCAAGTGATATGGGCAAATAAAGACAATATAACTATAAAAATAAAATTGTAGACCTACTAAAGACATCTTAGGCACCCTGAGAACAACTGAACCAAGTTGCCAGAGAGCTATTTCAAATGCTGTTATGCAGAAAATGGCACACGTGCCCTTTGAGGGTGAACCTTGAATCAATGGATAGAAATCATTAAAAAGTACACTGCCACCAAATTAAGCAATTATCTTTATCCCCTTTTATAAGGTGATGTAATTTATAAACAAAATTTTTCCTTTCTAGTGTGCAATTTTGTGTTTTTTTTTTTTACAAGTGAGTACAAATATGGATTTTGGCAAAAGAATCACCATTTCAATCAAGACATCACTTTCACAATCTCCTCATGTTCCTTTACTTATCCCCTCCCAACCTACCCCCTTGTCCTGAAAATCACTGATCAACTTCCTATTCCTAGAGTTTTGCTTCTAAAATGCCAAACATATAATCATTCAGTATTTGGTATGATGAAACTGGATTCTTTTATAAGTGTTGTTTATATTTTCTGGGTATAATGCTTTATCAGGTGTATTTTTTTGGGGGGTAACTGGAGAACGAAGTTGGAACTTTGAGCTTGAGAGGCAAGTGATGGAACCACTGAGCTAAATCCCAGCCCTGATACCAGTTGTTTTTTTTTTTTTTTTTGGTAGTGGTACCAGAGATCCAACTCAGGACCTTGCACTTGTGAGGCTGGCAGCAGAACCACTGAACTAAATCACCTGTCATATACTTTGCAAATATTTTCTCTCAATCTGTAGCTTATCTTTTCATCCCCCTAGCAATGCCTTTCAAAAAGCAGAAGGTTTTCGTGTGAGAAAGTCTAATTTTATAATTTATTAAAAAACAGATCATGTTTGGCATAACACCTAAAAAAAAAACAAAAAAAACAAAACCCAAAAACCCCAAGTAACAAAGATTTGCTCTTACATTTTCTTCTATAAATTTTAGATATTTTGGTTTGAAACTCAGGAACATGAAATTATATTTGACTTGAGAGTTAAATTTTGTGTATGGCACAGATATAGGCCAAAGTTCTTTTTTAAACTTTGAATATAAATATACAAGTGTTCCATCATCATTTGTAGAAAAGACTACTCAATATTCACAAGAAAGAGCTTTCTAAAATTATAGCTGAGTACCAGGAACAGTGGCACATGCCTGTAAACCCCAGCCCCTGAGGGGTAAGGTCTGAAGCTCAAGGCCAGCCAGGGCTACAAACCAAGCTTCAAGGCCAGCCTGACGGGACTACAATAGTGTGACCCTCCCAAAAGAGCAAAAGCCAAAACAAACAAAAGCCAAATAAGATTATGACTGATCTGTAATACAAAGAGCAGCCCCACCAAAATAGGTGGGAATTTTAAAAACCAAAGTTAGAAAATCAGCTGATTAATCTACTGAAAAATAGCAGACTATTAAAGTATTTCAGGTCTCATTCCATATCTCCTCAGATGGCTACCTGGGGCATAAAAGTCTTCTTAAATGTCCTGCCTCAACTCTCAGCACACTGTAAGAGCTCATTTTTTATTTATGTTATTATTTATTGGATTTCTACATATGATTTCTCTTGAACGTAAGATTAAACCATTTTTAAAAGTTAAAAATAACTAGGGCCAGGGAGTTAGCTCAGTGGTACTGCACCTGCCTCTCACAAACAAGGTTCTGAGTTCAAACAAATAAAAAAAACTAGATTAACATGATTAGGTAACACCTTCTAGTTTTAAATTCCTATGATGCATTTTCAGAAAATAGAAATAAACAGAAAACTATTAAAATCGGTCGTTAACTAAGTCTAGTTCATATACTTAAGCCCTGGATATTACCTATTTCAATTCTTAAAATATATTATATATGAATATTCAATAGATAAGACAATGGAAAATGCCCTTATTTCAATTAAGAGCCTAGCTTCCATTCAATTTCAGGTTCAAATATCCCAAATATCTACTTCTGGATAGTTAATAAAAGTAGCACACTAATCTAATGCATTGGTTTATATTACATAATAGTGATATTAAAGTGCTATTTCCTTTGCTGTGCAGAAACTTTTCATTTGATGTAGTCCCATGTGTTGATTTTTGCTATTATTTTCTGTGCTATTGGAGCCTATTCAAGAAGTCACTGTCTGGGCCAACCTACAGAATAGAAAAAAAAAATATTGCCAGCTATTCTTCTGTCAGAGGATTGCTATCAGAAAATATAAAGATAAAATATAAAATATAACTCACAAAGCTTAACATCAAAAATAAATAAAAATAAAAAAGCCCAGTCAATAAATAAATGGGCAAAAGAACTGAACAGACACTTATCAAGAGAAGCAGTACAAATGGCCAAATAGTATATGAAAATATGTTCAACATCTTTAGCCATTAGGGAAATGCAAATCAAAACTACACTGAAATTCTATCTTACCCCAGTCAGAAAGGGTGATGAGGATGTGGGAGAAAAAAGAACCCTCCTATGATGCTGATGGGAATGTAAATTATTATAGCCACTATGGAAATCAATATAGAAGTTCTTCAAAAAGCTAAAAATAGGGCTACTATTTAATCCAGCTTCTAGTCCTTAGTATATACCCAAGAAGTCACATCCCATAGATATACCTGCATTCACATTTTACTGTACCATAATATACAACATTTAAGACAGGGAACCAGCCTAGATGCCCAACAACAGATGAATGGATAAAGATTATATATGTGCATATATATCATGGAATACACACACACACACACACACACACACACACATAGAGAGAGAGGGAGAGGGAGACACACACTCACAAACACACATATAATGGAATATATAATGGAATTATATATAATGGAATATATAATGGAATTATATATAATATATGCTATATGTTATATATAATTATATATAATTGTATATAATGGAAGATTATATGTGTGTGTATATAATGGAATATATATATAATGGAGTATTACTCAGCCATAAAAATATAATTTTATCATCTGCAGAAAAATGGATCTGTAGATCATGTTGAACAAAATAAGTCACACTCAGAAAGAAAAGTATCAAATGTTCTCCCTATTCTATTCAATCTAAAAAGATGAAAATCAAGTAGAAGGGAGACTGTTATTAGACAAGAGGAAGTGAAGAAGTTACAAGAGTGGGCAAAAGGGAGCATGAATATGATCAAAACACATTGTATACAATGACCCCCCCAAAATAAAAGTGAAACTGGAGGGATGGTTGGAGGGAATGACTCAAGTATGTTATGTACATATAGAAATCTGCCAAAATGAAACCCACCAATCTGTATGACCAATATGCTCTAATAAAAAATGTGGAAAAAACAGGTCTTTAAAATGCTATTTCTATATTTAAAATACTTATTATCTCAGATTTAAATACAGTGCCACTACAAAGGGAGTAGTTAAGACAAATATACATATATATCTGAAAATAGTGAAACATATAAAATGAAAAGCATGCTTATAGTATTATTTTTTTTCTCATTTCTTTAAGTGTGTTGGAACTACAATCTTTATTCTATTGTAAAATAAAAGCATAAATATCAAATTGCAGCTAAAGTTGAAAGAACATACTGAAAAATTGTGATGGTTGCCAAAATTTTATGTACTATGATGAACAAAAGATTATTCATTACTACTTGTAATTTAACTCTGATGTGTACAGTGTATGTGTGTGACATACATAAACTTACATACAGTAACATTAACATTGATGGTTCTAGGAAAATAATATACTTAATTTTATTTTATTTTTTTTATTTTTTTGGTACCGGGGATTGAACGGGTCCTTGCTGTGATGGTTGCCAAAATTTTATGTACTATGATGAACAAAAGATTATTCATTACTACTTGTAATTTAACTCTGATGTGTACAGTGTATGTGTGTGACATACATAAACTTACATACAGTAACATTAACATTGATGGTTCTAGGAAAATAATATACTTAATTTTATTTTATTTTTTTTATTTTTTTGGTACCGGGGATTGAACTCGGGTCCTTGCGCTTGAAAGGCAGGCCACCGAACCACTGAGCTAAATCCCCGGCCCAATATACTTAATTTTAGATAGTACCAGTAAGTATCTCATAACTTAAATAGGAGATGGAGAAAATAAAAAATACTAATTAGAAAAAAAAGTGTTTCAATTACTATAAATATCACACAGTGGAAGAAGCCTTTCTTAATTTTAATATTTGTAGATGACAATATCTGTGTAGAGTGCTTTACACAAATTATCTTTTGTGAAAACACTTAAGATTTATGTATATTCTAAGAAATTCAAACTTAAATCGTTTTCCTATCCGAACCCAAAATACCATACTGTTATAATGCACAAAATAACCCTGAAGGCAGAGTCATGGCAGCATGTAGCAGAAAATTCTTACCAGTTTTTCATCAACTGTTATAAGTTGCGTGTCTCGAATTTGGTCCTGTGCCAACCTCCATGTGGATGTGCTCAACAACCTGCAGTGCGAGACTTTCAGTTAAAAAATGATCCACGCAATGAGAAAAGAGAAGCAGACAAATCTTACATAAACAAGCTACTTTAACAATATCTGTCTTATTAAAAATAAAGAGAAAGAGAAGAGGGCACAAAAGTCCTTTTTCTCCCCAATTAGTTCTGTCTGCTGAGTTTTTGGCAGACTCTCACTTGACAGTTCACAACAGGCAGCACTTTATGTCGGTCTAGAAGCTCTCTGTCACAGAAAGGCCACCAGTGACAAGTGCTGTACTGCTCTCTATGAGGGTACAGTGGCTGGTTTGTCATGACCAGCTAAAAATGCAAAACTATATCAACTGTTCTGGAATGCTGATTCCAAAATGATGGCATCAGAAAGGGAGGAGGGGGGCTCAATCACAAAAAAAGTTTCTTCACTCTAATCTCAAAGCAAAAGTAGCTTAAGTAGTAATGACTTATATGATTATTTTAATAAATGTTATTAGCTTAGTCCTGTATCCTATTCACAAAATCAGAGAAAGTCAGGATGATTAAAATAGAAATATTAAGTTTGAAATGAAGCACAAACTCTAGCTTCCTATATTAAAATCTTCTGATCTCACTATAAAGAAATTACTTAAAGCTAGCAGGTTATTTCATGTGTACTTTGTCATCTATACAAACAAATGTCACAGTAATTCCTGATTGTAACAATTAAACAGTTTCCAAACTATTGAGGCAGCTTGTATAGATCTCTCAAAAGTCATATGGTTCAAACTTTCAAACCAAATAATATATAGCATTCAGTCCATTCCTTTTTTAAAAAACATAATATAGTCATTATCACTATCACAATTTGATGCAATATGATCTCCAACTTTATGTTAAAAGTTCAACTAATAGCTACACATATGTACATAACTTTATAGAGAACTTATTAATAATTTAAAGATAACTAGTAGCACACGAGGACTTAGCTTTAGAAATATTTTTTAAAAAATCTATCAATTCACTGCCAAATTTTAGAAATTACATTATTTTATCAGTGTGAATGACCCAATGAAAAGCTTATCAACATAAAAGACAAGTGAAAATAATTTATTTACACAATTAAAATACAAATTCCAGGGTTAAAATATTAAAGTATAATTAAGTACCTTTCAAATCTATTTTATTCGAGAAATCATTAAAATCAGTAACATGACAAAAAAAATTTAAATACTTTTTAACTAAACCTATATCCTGAAATAAAAACATTATACAATGATGAAAACTCATAAGAATTTTAAATATTAGAAAATACAGTTATTATTTTCTAACTTCTTTAGTGAAGAGTCATCAAAATAATACAAATTATTAGATTAAAATTAGAATTCTTGGGCTGTGTGATTTTAGGCTACACAATGGGCTTAAGTAATTAATTATCTTTTAAGTTTATAATAAAATATTAAAGTATACATTAACTGCAGGCCACAGTAAATTTAATTTATAAAATTATACATAATTTAATAGTAGCTATGTTTTAATAATTTTTAGATAAACCTCTAAGAATGAAGCTAAGTATGCTCTTTTGTAAACAGATGAAAAATTATCCCTTATTTTTATACAGATAAAAAATTATTTTTATGAAGCTGTATGTATAGGATTGACTACAAAGAGAAAAGCAGGGCCTCTAATTTTTATTTGAAGAACAAGCACCTAAGTAAAAGAACATACACAGTGTGTTTGTTTGTGTACATTATGCTGGCTCTTTTGCTATGTAACTATCCTCTAAACAATAATCACGAAAACCAAATCTCAAATGTGGAGAAAAAATTTCCTCTAATTCCACATAAGGCTGGAGTCAATTTTAAACAACTAATAATAACAGCTATGAATAGCTCAATGGTAGGGTGCTTGTTTAGCATATGAAATTTTGGGCTCAACCCTCAGTATTTAAAAAAAATTTACCTATAGTAAATTTTAGATTAAGTATGAATTATAAATCAAATATCTGCTGATTAGCCTATATAAAATATCATAGCCGTAAAATAGTGTAAGAAAACATTTTTATATAGCAGAGTGCAAAAACTTTATTAAATAAGAAAATACAAAAGCTAGAAAGAATGAAGAGAAAAATCACTGAATCTATTACATAAACCCCAAACTCCTAAACCAAACATACTGTAAATATAACAGATGAGACAAGGAAAAAACAGTAGAGGGATCAATATGTACAATAGAGGGATCAATATGTACAGTAGAGGGATCAATATCCAAAATAGGTAAAAGAGTGTCCACCAAAGAGTAACTGTGGGTTAATTCCTAAATTTTAAAAGATATACTCAAAAACAACAAATAACCCAAAGAACCCAACTAAAAATAGAAAAAGGACCTGTACTGACATCTAAAAAATATAAAGAAATAATAAACAAGCACATGAAAAGATGCTTACTTAATATTACTAAGAACTAGGGAAATGCAATTCAAAACACAATAAGATACTCTTTCATACCCTTTAGCATGGTTATGAAAAAGCAGAATATACATGTTGAGAGAAATCTAGAAATAATTTCTCTGTGGGAATCCAAAGTGATTATCCCATGTAGAAAATAGTATGGCAGTTTCTCTAAAAATTAAATACAGAATTACCACACGAGCCAACCATTTTATTATTAGTTATACATCCTAAATAAAAGTAGGGTCTTGGCTACTTATACACCAATGTTCGTAACAGCATTATTTAGAAAAAAAAGCAAAAATAGTCAATATATTAATTATATTTTCACTAGGCAATATATAACACTAAGTGTACATGTAGAAGTAATGGTAATTACAATTTGCTACTTTTTTCTAAAAAACTGCATTTATATTGAATAGACATTTTACTTGACATTATTTACTAAACAATATAGTACAATAAATACTTATGTAGCATTTACATTGTATTAGATATTCTTTTTTTTTTCCCTTGGTACTGGGGATCAAACTCAGGACCTTGTGTTTGCCAGGCAGGCGCAGTGTCAACGAGCTAAACACCCAGACCTGTATTAGGTTTTTTTATTTTTATTTTTTGGTGCTGAGGATCAAACTCCGGACCTTGTACTTGTGAAGCAAGCAGTGGAAACACAAAGCTAAATCCTCGGGCCCTGTATTAGGTATTCTAAGTAGTCTGGAGATGACCCAGAGTATATTGGAGGATATGTATAGATCATATGCAAATACTATGCTACTTTATATTAGGACCTGATCCTCTATGGATTTTTTATAACTATTTTTTAAAATTTTATTAGTACATATATATTTGCAGCATATCCAGCTTACAATCATCTTGGGGAGTGGGTACAAGTACATAACACAACTTATTTTTTTCTTTAAATCACCTTCTATCCCCTCTCCTTTCTCCGTCTACTCCACTATCCCCATTTTCATTCTTGTTGATATTATTAATCTTAGCACATGTTAGGGCATATAATGGTTATTATATTCATTGAAATTATTAGGTTTCTGTACAAGGTTTATCTTTACTATACTTAGTTCCCCTCCCCCTCCTCCTCACCCTTTATCCTTGTTTCCTTGGACCACTTCCCTAATGCAAGAGATCCAACTCTTTATCCCTTTCTAGCCATCTTTTATCATTTTCCTTCTTTGCCTCACTCAAATGAGAGATATCATATGTTAAGTTTGTATCTGCTTTATTTCACTTAACATTGTATTTTCCAGGTGCATTTTTTCTACAAATGTCTCAAACTTGTCGTTCTTTATAGCTGAGTGGTATTCCATTATATACAGGTACCATATTTTCTTTATCCAATCATCTGTTGATGCGTATACAGGCTGCTTCTAGAATTTAGCTACTACCAATTGTGCTGCTATAAAAATTTCATGTATTGCTGTAGTATGTCTTAAGCATTTTGGGGAAGATACCTAAAGGGGTCATGTGGAATTTCTTATTTCAGTTCTTTGAGAAATTTCCATACTCATTTCTATAATGGTGGTACTAGTTTACATTCTTACCAACAGTGAAGGAGGGTTCCTTTTTCACCACAGTTATGCCAGCATTTATTATTGTTTGATTTCTTTTCGTTCTTGCCAGCATTTGGTGTGGTCAAGGTTGGGACTTCTAATAGGTATCTTAATTTGCAATTTCTTAATGATATGATATTAAACACCTCTCCCCAGCCGCCACCCCTTGCTGTGGTGCCAGAAATTGAACGTAGAGCCTTGAAGGTGCTAGGTAGGTGCTCTAAGACTGAGCTATAGCCTCCGCCTCTGTTCAGATTTTTTGTCCACTTTTTTTTTGGTGGTGGGGGTGGGGGTTGAACCCAGAACCTTGTGCATGCTGAGCACATCTTTTGCCCATTTTTCAATTGTGTGTTTTTAAGAATTCTTTGTATATTAGAGGTGCAATATTTTATTAGCTTTGTGTTTTGCATTTTTTTTTTTCTCTAGTATGTGGCTTGTTATTTCATTCTAAGGCTGGCCTAAAACTCCTGGGCTCAAGAAATTCTCCTGCCTCAGCTTCATGAGTTGCTGGAACAACGGGCACAAACCACTGTGTCTGACTTCATATTATTTCTATAATATTAGAAATTACACATGCTAGGGAAGTACTCTGCCACTTACATCACCAGCCCTGTTTAAAAATTTTGAGGCTTTATCTAAGTTGCCCAGGTTTGCCTTCAATTTGGAATCTTCCTGCTTCAGCCTCCCCAAGTACCTGGAATTATAGGTACATCTAGCATAGTTTTTAATAATAAAAATGTACTGTTCAGAATGTTTTAAATGGTAAAAAGATTTTTAAAATTTTGTTTAAAATATATGAATAAAAATAGTATCAACACAATTCCCTCTTTGGAGCAACTTGACCTTATCAAGTAATAATTTTGTCAAAGTCCCACATCTCCTAAAAACATGGCTCCAAATTTCTTTGACACTTTTCCCTTCTATTAAAAGCTTGAGGCCTATAGCTATTCTTCCTAGAATCTGAGCTCTGTGTATTTGATCATTATAAGACAGTAGAAATGAGGCTGTGTATCCAAGGTCA